TCAGGCATGCAGATGGCTATGAATAAATAGTTATTGCTTTTAATTGTAGGACAGAACTGCTAGCTCAAATAGCCTATGATAACTAATAGGGGCTCCTACAGTTTCAGGAGCCTTAGGTGTCCATGGAGCAGAGAAAGGGTTATTTACCATTAACCGCAAGATTACCAAGTACAGTTCTATTATAAGGAGACATATCCTTAAAATCACCATACTATGCAAAAATTACACAATAAAAACCATGGGGCTTATTGGAAAAATGGGATATGGACATAACATTTAAAAACTTCTCAATGACACATTAAAGATAAGAAACAAATAGTAGAACTGTTTTACACCTGGTATATGGTTAAATACTACAATAAATATGATACTTTTCCTTGAAAAAGACCAGGAGTTTCCCTTGTGTGAGTGTTGGAAACACCTTATGAATTATTGTGAAGTGGTGAAGTGGGTTTATCTGGAATTGGGTAGAAAGTTTTAACACCAAGTATGAATGGATGTAGTTCATAACACAAATAGTAAGCTGAGGGAACTGATAAAGGCTTGAGGTGTATGCATGCTACGCTCTTCTACTCAGCTCCAGTCCCTGGGCACAGTTTTGAATGTTCTCCTAGTTTCTTGAAAATGGAATCACATACAAATTTACCTATAGTAAAGCAGAACTGTTTGAATATCTTGTTCCTGGACCTGTGCCATGTGGTGAAGATACAGTGATAAAAACAAGAACCTACTTCCTTCAAGGAGCTTATAATCTAGTGGATACAGTGATATAAGCAGTTGTTGAGAGCTATAAAGACCATTAACTCTGGTCAGTTATCAGCTAGGTGGGTAACACAAAGAAGCCTTTCACTCTTCCCGGAAAGTCAGTGGAAATCTTTGAATCAGTAATGGCTAAAAATCCTGTAGGGTTTCCGGTGTGCATGCACTGTTCTAAGCCCTAATCTCACTACAGTCATTTGAGGTGTGTACAATTCTTTTCCCCATCTTATAGACAAAGAATCTAAGGCACAGAATCATTAACTTGCCCAAGAACACACAGCTATTAAATAGCAGAGTTAGGATACTAAAACAGTATGGCTTTAACATACTTAGTCATTACTTCAAGTATTTCAACTGAGATCTAGCACATGAGTAGGAATTTTCTAGAATAGTTGGGGGAAAATATACCTTCTCCTGGGACAAGCAGTTTTCGAGTCTTTGGAATTGGCAGGTGGTCCCAGGATTGCTAAATGGTAAAATGTAGAAAGGACTACAATTATTAGACAGTAGATGGTTTTCTCTCATCCATTGAGGGAGGACAGGAAAAGGAAAACTCAGGAGGTAGGTGTGGGTTGGGAACCATGAAGGAGAGATTGGAAAAAATGCTTTTGACTTCAAGAGAGCACTAACGAGACTTTTGGCTATCTTAGGCACCTGTTTTTTGTGCATAGGTTATTTATAAGATTTAAGTCAGATATATTAAGTCCCAAATGTCCAAAATTTAAGTATTTAATTTCTTGGAAATATGTGCTGTTTTGCTCTCCAGTAATCCAAGATATACTGGGAGACTTTTCTCTAGAAAATTCCTTGATTGGTCTCTTAAGGCCTTCAGCCATACTTACAGATGCTCTCTGAGCACATGTTGGGTCACCAGGCTGGTCATTCCCTGTAATTATAGGAGGGGATTTAGTAATATACCTGTGATCTTGTGAGGCTATGTTCCAGAACCTGCTCCTCAGAGGAGGATGCTAGACCTCTGCAGGGAGTGAGGTGTGAGGAGGAGAGAGGCCATTCACTGGAACTCAAAGTTATTTATTTTTTTGCTTCTAGGCTGATGTGAAAAATAGGATGTGTTTTCTATTTGGAGACTGAGCCTGATTTTTTTCAGTCCTTTGGTTAATTTAGTTACCACCACCTTCCATAGAATAGAGTTCTCAGATATTGGCACGTGTCTATGTGGACCTATTCTGTGATTTTTTTTTTGTTTAAATTGTTCCATGAACAACAGCACATAAGAACATATTATCCATTTTCATAATAGATTATGGATCAGAAAATCTTGGGTCCTAGTTGAGCGCCTCTCAACACTGAATTCTATTTTGGAGATCTCCTAAGGCAAATTTCCAATTGTGAAATTGAAAATCCCAGGTTAGTATGAGACTCCTTTGTGACTAGTGGCAGCATACTAGTTTGAGTCCTCATCTTTCCTCACTGTCAAGAGAGATGGAGGGACCCTGTAAACTCAGGTGGCACTATCTTATAGAGATATGGAAGGAGACATCAAACCACCACATCCATTCTGTCTTCCAGCATCACTTTCCTCCATTCATTTCAGGGTCCCTAGATCTTACATGAGAGGTTTACTCCATAAATCTCTGGGGCACTGAGAGTCCCCAGTCCTTAGAATAGTGGATGTGCTTGCACTGAGGCCTCAGATTTGAGAGGATGTGTTCTCCCTCTCCATTATAATAGGATCTGATAGAATTGAAGTTCTGGTAGGGATATGGAATAGATCATATCTAATTTTTATAAACTCTTTTGTGATATTTTCTGCTGACCCTATCTACTTTTCCTTTATCCATAACAGGGCCATTTCTCCTGGTCACCAAATCTCTGAAACTAATGCTATCCTTGACCATATATAACCAGTGATTCCTTCTTGCTGAGGTCACAGTTGCTGTTCTTGTCTCTAAGGAAGTACTGTACCTGTAAGATTAGGCTAGGACCCAGAACAATGCCCTCTACCGCATATCCAATAATTCTTTTCCTTCAATGTGAGGCATGGAAGAGGTATTTTTTGACTAAGTCACTTGGATTAATTATGGCTGAGGAAATCAGTGCTTTGTTGATTTATAAAAGGATTTTCTTATTCAAGACAAGATGCTTCCTGTAAGGGTTCTCTAGCATTTGAAAGAGGGCTCTTGAAGTGACTCTTTTTGGATTGGGTTGAGGATGTATGTTATGGTTTGGAGCCCAAAGGCTCATGTATTTGAAATCTTGGTTCCCAATGGAGCAATGTTCAGAGGATGCCGTAGTCCGTCTGGGCTGCCTAAGTCCGGCTGGGCAAAATAACGGAGAGGTGACAAGCAACTTGAAGGTTGAAGCAGGAACTACTTTACTGCAAGTGAACTCAGCAGGAACTGAGAACTCAAAGTAGCGGGCACCCAAGGTAGCAGGAGCCGCTTCTCTGCCGGACTGCAGAGATACATATACCTAACTAATTACACACAGCTTAATTTAATTGACATCATCTAGACATAGCAGTCAGTCATTAAGTAATCCTCATCATCTTAATGGCTCGCTGGCTCAGAAACCACTCCTCCTAGCATACTGCCAGGTGCCATCTTGGTTGTGGCCCTCATCAAGAGGAGGAACTTTTGGGAAGTGATTGTATGAGGGCTCTGACCTCATCATTGGATTAAACCATGGATAGCTCAATGAATCACTTCGAGGTGGTGAAAAACTGTAGGTGGTGGGCATGGTTATAGGAAGTTCATCACTGGGGGCATGCTTTGGAAGAGTACTTCTTGTCCATGCCCCCTTTTTCTTTTTCTCTTCTCTGTTTCTGTCTCTCTGTCTTCACTTTCTGGCTGCCATAAGCTGATAGGCTTCCTCTACCACATCCTTCTGCCACCATGTTCTGCCTTATCACAAGTCCAAAGCAATGGTATCAGGAGACCATTTAACTGAAACATCTCAAACTGTAAGCCAAAACAATCTTTCCTCCTCTAAATTCTGCTCCCTCCCCTCAGTTATTTTTCACACTAAGAGGCCATCCTTCAAGAAGTTAATTCTTTGAAATTATTCTCTGAGATAATAGTGACTTTATTTTTTTCCTATCAATACTTCCTCCTTCTGAGTTCATACTATATGGGTAACTCTTACAACCAGGAAAATACCAATGTCACAGATTCAACAAACATTATTAAGACCTTATTGTATGTCATATAATACTATTGTATGAATAAAAATTCTCTCAGTATTAATTTGTTATGTGCTGCATATTTGTGCCCCCTGCCCCTCCCACTATATATGTTGCAGCTCTAACCCTCAATCTTTGGGAAGTCATTAAGTATTTATGTATGTATGTATTTTTTTAGTTTAAGTAGACACAATATTTTATTTTCATATGGTGCTGAGTATTGAACCAGGCTTCACGTGTGCCAGGCGAGTGCTCTACCACTGAGCCCTAGCCCCAGCCCTCATTAGATATTTATGAGGTCACAAGGCTGGGGTCCTCCTGAATAAATTAATGTCCTCATAACAAGGAGAAGAGTGAGGTCTCTCTTTCCCCATGCCTTGTACAGACAGTAAGGGCAGAACTGACTACAAAGCCAGGAAGAGAGCCCCAGTCAAGAGCCCTATTAGCAATCGCTTTGATCTTAGATTTCACTTCCAGGACTGTAAGAGAAATTTCTGTTATGTAAACCATGAAGTCTAGGGCATTTTGTTATAGAAGCCTGAATGGACTAAGACGACAATATAATAGCCATCAAGTCTCATCTCATTAGCAGCTTGAGTATCTGACCCTTTTTTATCTCTGTTGGAATGTGTCATATTTTATTCTTCACAATCTTATTCTGGAATATTGCAGCAGCCTTATAACTGATCCCCTTGTCTCCAACATGTTCTTTATATTTTATTTTTGTCATACTTTTATTTGAGAAGTAGCCGGTCAATACAAATGTACAAAGCATCGAACATGCACAAATATCAACGCACCCAGAATTGTCAATTATTAATATTTCATCTCACTTGCCTTTAGTTCTTTTTTTAAAAAAGACTTTAAAATTTCAGGTAAAATTAAAATTTCTTTTATCCCCTATAATGTCCCATTCTTTCACCTTAAAAACAATAATTATCATGACTTTAGAATGTACCCTCTAATTCAGTTTTTAATGTTTTTGTTATTTGGTGCTTTGAAATATTTATATAAATTACTGTATAGTAAATTATATTTTAGAGTTCTATTTATATAAATAAATACATCTTTCTTATCCCTTTAATTTGCTACACAGTTTTGTAGCATATAATTTAGCCAAATATTTATTAATAGACTTAAAATTGCTATTGATATCTTAGTACATGTCTCCATGTACTAATGGAAAAATGTATAATAGTTTCAGAGGTATGAATTTCTCTAGAACGTACTATCTAGAAATAGAATTGCTGGATCATAAGGTATGCACATTTTCTTTAGCAAGTTATTGTCAAATGGCTCTTCAAAGTTGTTCTTCCAATTTGGTTTTCCCCTACTCATTCAGTACTCCATAATTCTTTGTCTAGTACCCTTTATGCTCTCCCTTCCCTTGTGTACTGACTGCAATGTCCTAGACCCTATAGAACTTGTTATACTTTAAGTGTTCACTGGCTGGGGCTGAAGATTCATTGCAAATATCAGTTTTTTCTCAGTTTCATATTACTCAAATACATCTCTTCTGGAATATATCTCCATTTTTGCACTGGCTGATCACTTCCATGTGTGTGTTCCTAGCCTGTCCTTCTCCATTTTTGGGTGGAAGGGACAATGTCAGAGAGTTGTTTGGTGGTCTATAGAGCTTGCATATGGACTGTCTCTTGAGTTCATATTTTTGATGTTTGCTTCTTGCACTTAGTCTGTTGTCACTAAATCTCTGAGCTTCTTTTTCCCTTGGGTCCTTACCACAATTTCCTTGAAAATAAGTACTGCATTTGCTTCATTCCATAAATTTTATACAATTTGGCTATCACTGTTCTAAAAGCATCTTACAGTAATATTCAAACCATTTTTAGTTTTTGCTTTTCATCTTTTTTATTCTTTACTTTTCATTTTATTAGGTGGTTTGGTTTTTCTCAAACCACCTAACTATACTTCTAAAAATATCATTTATTAATTATCTCTTCCAAAAATACAAATTTCAAAATGTTTATTGCAACACAAAGTAAAGAAGATGAAGGAAAAACATGTTTCTCTCCTTCTAGCACCTCTTCCACTCCTAAGGTAATTTTTGTTAACATTTTACATCCTTTGACACCTTTTCATATGCTTATATGTACTTACACTAACATAGATATTTAGTGTTTAGGTTTTATTTATTTTTTAAAATTTTGAAATAATATATATTTTCTGCAATTTCCTTTTACTCATTGAGCAAATATTTAATGAGCAGCTACTTTATACCAGGTACTACACTTAGCTACCTAACAATAACATATTGCAGACATATTTCAGGTCAATAGATAGAGCTTTAATGTATTCTTTTTAAATAGCTGTATATACACTTCTGATTATGAGAATTATATATTTACATGCAGTTGTAAGAAATAATATAGAGAACATTTATAACATTTATCTAGTTTCTCCCAGTAATACCACCTTGAAAAACTATTGCACAGTATAATAGGGTATTCATATTGACGGTCAAGATACATAAAAGTTTCATTACCACAGGAATCCTTCTTTCTGCCCTTTTATAGATGTAGCCACCTCTTTTCTCCCCTCTCATACTTCTGTTAAGAACTCCCAGAAACCACTAATCTCTATATAATTTTGTCCTCTCAAGAATGTGAGTGGGATCATAGTAACATATAAGCTTTTAGGATTTGTTTTTCTTGGACTCTTCATAATTCCTTTGAGATTTATTGAAGTTGTTGTGTGTATCAATAGCTCATTCTTTTTCATTCATTCATTTTTTTTAAATCTAGGGTCACTCTACTACTTGGCTACATTCTCAGCTGTTTTTTGAGACAGGATCTTGCTAAGTTGCCAGGGCAGTCTTAACTAGCAATCCTTCTACCTTAGCCTCCCAAGTAGCTGAGATTATAGGTATGTGCTACCACTTTTGGCTAGTTCAGTAATTTTTAATTACCAAGTGGTATTATTTTATGGTATTTATGTACTAGTTTAGCCATATACTTGTTGAAGGACATCTGAGGTGTTTCCAGTTTTTGGCTATTGCTAATAAAGCTATGAACAATCATATATAACATTTATGGGAACAAAAAGTTTTGATTTCTCTGAGATAAATATTTAAGAGTACAGTTGCTGGGTCATGTTTAGATGTTTAGTTTAATAAACTAACTATATACTATAACACTCCTGCCACAGGTTGAATATTTATGCCACTCCCCTCATCCCACACCTCAATTCATCATATGTTGAAACTTAATCCCCAATTTAATGATATTGGAGATAAGCCTTTGAGCAGTGATTAGGTCATGAAGGTAAAGCCCTCTTGAACAGGGTTAGCGCCCTTAAAAAGGGACCTTAGAGAGCTTTCTCATCCCTTCCACCATATGATGAAACAGCAAGAAGACAGCTATGCATGAACCAGGAAGGAGACCCTTGCTAGATGCTGAATCTGTTGATGCCTTGGACTTGGACTTTCCATCCTTCAGAACTGTGAGAAGTAAATATTTTTTGTTAAAGTCAACCAGTCTATGTTATTTTTGTTGTAGAAGCAGAGGCTAGCTAAGACACTGCCAAACTCTTTTCTGAGTAGATATAATTTCTATCAACAATTTCTCATCTGAATGCCACTTATTTCCTTTTCTTATTTCAGTGGCTAGAACTCCCAATATGATGTTAAGATCAGCAAGAGTCAATATCTTTGCTATGTTCTTGACCTTGCCAAAAAAAAAAATATAAAAATCAATCTTTTACCATTAGTGTGATGTTAGCTGTAGGATTTTTCGCATTACTAAATTGCAATCATTCCCCTCTATTTCTAAGTTGATAAGTGTTTTAGACATGAAAAGATACTAAATTTTGTAAAAATTTTCTTTTTGCTCTAATTAATGCGATCTTATTTTTTATCTTGTTGATATAGTGAATTACATTGATGAATGTTTTGTATATTGTTGGATTTAATTTGCTAATGTTTATAATATAGAGTTCTTTTTTTGGTATGGTCACTCTTAAACTGGCCTCATATTGAGGTGGGAAGTGTCCTTTAGTCTATTGTTTTCTGGAAAAGATTGTGTTAAATTTGGCTAATCTTTTTTAAAGTTAAGAAGGATTCTCCAGTGAAATAAAGCAGGCCTGGAGATTTCTTTTTCAGAAGTTTTTAAGTTACATGTTTAATTTTTTATTAATTTTTTTATATATGACAGTGGAACACATTACAATTCATATTACACATATAGAGTACAATTTTTCATATCACTGCTTGTATACAAAGTATATTCATACCAGTTCGTGTCTTCATACATGTACTTTGGATAATGATGTCCATCACATTCCACCATCATTTCTAACCTCCTGCTCCCTCCCTTCCCTTCCCACCCTTATGTCCTTTCTAGAGTTCCTCTATTCCCACCATGCTCCGCCTTCCTATCCTGCTATGAATCAACCTCCTTATATCAGAGAAAACATTTGGAATTTGTATTTTTTTGGGATTGGCTAACTTCATTTAGCATTATCTTCTCTAACTCCAACCATTTACCTGAAAATGCCATGATTTTATTCTCTTATTGCTGAGTAATATTCCATTGTGTATATATGCCACATTTTTTTTATCCATTCATCTATTGAAGGGCATCCAGGTTGGTCCCATAGTTTAGCTATTGTAAATTGTGCTGCTATAAACATTGATGTGGGCTGTATCCCTATAGTATGCTGTTTTTAAGTCCTTTGGGTATAGACTGGGGAGAGGGATAGCTGGGTCAAATGGTGGTTCCATTCCAAGTTTTCCAAGGAATCTCCATACTGCTTTACATATTGACTGCACCAATTTGCAGTCCTACCAGCAGTGTATAAGTGTACCTTTCCCCCCACATCCTTGCCAACACTTATTGTTGTTTGTATTCATAATAGCTACCATTCTGACAGGAATGAGATGAAATCTTAGAGTAGTTTTGATTTGCATTTCTCTAATTGCTAGAAATGATGAACATTTTTCATGTATTTGTTGATTGGTTGTATATCCTCTTCTGAGAAGTATCTGTTCAGGTCCTTGGCACATTTATTGATTGGGTTATTTGGTTTTTTGGTGTTTATCTTTTTGAGTTCTTTATATACCCTAGAGATTAGGGTTCTATCTGATATGTGAGGGATAAAAATTTGCTCCCAGGATGTAGGCTCTCTATTCATCTCACAGATTGTTTCTTTTGCTGAGAAGAAATTTGTTAGTTTGAATTCATCCCATTTATTGATTCTTGATTTTAATTAATGTTTAATTTTTAAAATAATTATGGAACTACTCAGTTAATTTTATGAATTTTTGTGTTTTTTTGGTAGTATATAGTTTCTGAGGAGTTGGTTCATTTTTTCTAAATAATCATATTTATGAATGTAAAGTTGTATTTCTTTATTAGCTATCATGGTAATAGAGCCTACTGTGATATCCCCCATCTTATTCCTGATATTACTTGTATCTTTTTTTATCTTTATTAGTCTTTCTAGAGTTTGTTAGTTTTATTGCTGTTTTGAAGAGCAAACTTTTCATTTCACTAATTTCCCCCATATTACCAATTTTCAGTTTCATTAATTTCCAACCTTTATTATTTTCTTCCTTCTGTTTGCTTTGGGTTAATATTTTTCTTTTTTTTCCACTAGTTTATTGGGGTTGAATAGTAGATTGCTAATTTGAGGCCTTTCCTTTTTTCTGGTTTACGTTTGTGGTGCTATAAATGTCCTCTCAGAACTGCTTAAGCTACAATCCACACATTTTTATAATTTTATTTCCGTTCATCCAGTGCAATGTCTTTAAATAAACATTCTCTTATGATTTCATTTTTGATCCATAGTTTATTGAAAAGTATGTTATTTAATTTCCAGATTTTTAGAGATTCTCTTTGTTTCTCATTGTTATTGATTTACAATTTGATTTCATTATGGCCAGAGAATATAGGTCTGGGTGATTTCAGTTTTTTAAATTTGATGAGGCTTGTTTTATGACTCAGGATAGAATCAATTTTTGTGAATGTCTATGCGTACTTGGAAAACAAAATTATATTATGCTTTTGGATGGAAAGTTCTGTATACATTGGTTGGATTCTGTTGTTTGATCATGTTGGTCAGTTCTTCTATGTCCTTGTTGTTATTGTTTCTAGTAATTTTATCAGTTACCAGAAGAAAATAACTCAAATACCAAGTTGAACTTTGTTTGTTTATTCTTTCAGTTTTTGCTTCATGTATTTTGGGGATCTGTGCTTGGTGTGTGTGTATATGTCTTCTTGGTGAACTGATTATTGGGTCACTTTGTAGCTAGTAATTCCCTTTGCTGTGAAGTTCACTTTATCTGAAATTAATATAGTCACTCCTATTTTTTCTGGGTAAACATTTGCACGTTATATTTTTCTGTCCTTTTATTTTCAACACACTTATGTCATTTAGTTTTAAATTAATTTTTTATTTGTTCTAATTAGTCATACATGACAGCCGAATGCATTTTGACACATTGTACACAAATGGAGCACAACTTCTCATTCCTCTGGCTGTATACAATACGGAGTCACACTGGTCATGCAATTATACATGGGTATAGGGTGATAATATCCATCACATTCTACCATTCTCCCCACCACCACCCTCCTCCCCTCCCCTCATTACCTTCTGCCCAATCCAAAGTTCTTCCATTCTTCTTTAGCATCACCCCCCATTATGGATCAGCATCCGCATATCAGAGAGAACATTTGGCCTTTGGTTTTTTGGGATTGGCTTACTTCACTTAGCATGATATTTTCTAACTCCATCCATTTACCTGCAAATGCCATGATTTTATTCTCTTTTAATACTGAGTAATATTCCATTGTGTATATATGCCACAGTGTCTTCATCCATTTATCCATTGAAGGGCATCAAGGTTGTTGGTTCCACAGTTTAGCTATTGTGAATTATGCTGCTTTAATCATTGATGTGACTGTGTCAATGCAATATGCTGATTTTAAGCCCTTTGTGACACTTTGAGTTCTTCTTTTCCTATGTGTATCCCTTTAATTCTTTCATCTAATTGCTCTGGCCAGTGTTTCAAGAACTATGTTGAATAAAAGTGGTGAAAGAGGGCATCCTGTCTTGTTCCAATTTTCAGAGGGAATGCTTTCTTTTTTTCTCCATTTTAGAATGATATTGGCCTGGGGCTTAGCATAGATAGCCCTTATGATGTTGAGATATGCTTCTGTTATCCCTAGTTTTTCTAGTGTTTTGAACATGAAGGGGTGCTGTATTTTGTTAAATGCTTTTTCTGAATCTTTTGAGATAATCATATGATTCTTATCTTTAAGTCTATTGATGTGATGAATGACATTTATTAATTTCCGTATGTGAACCAACCTTGCATCCCTGGGATGAATCCCACTTGATTGTGGTGCACGATCTTTTTGATAGGTTTTTGTATTCGATTTGCCAGAATTTTAGCATCTATATTTATTAGAGATATTGGTCTGAAGTTTTCTTCCTTTGATGTGTCTTTGCTAGTTTTGGAATCAGGGTGATATTGGCTTCATACAATGAGTTTGGAAATGCTGCTTCTTTTTCTATTTCATGAAATAAATTGGAGAGTATTGGTATTAGTTCTTTCTTAAAGTTCTTATAGAACTCGGCTGTGTATCTATCTGGTCTTGGGCTTTTCTTGGTTGGTAGACTTTTGATGGTATCTTCTATTTTGTCGCTTGAAATTGATCAGTTTAAATTGTTTATATCATCCTGATTCAATTTGGGCTAATCATATGTATCTAGAAATTTGTCAATGCCTTCAATATTTTCTATTTTATTGGAGTACAATTTTCAAAATAATTTCTAATTATCTTCTGTATTTCTGTAGTGTCTGTCGTGATATTTCCTTTTTCATCATGTATGTTAGTAATTTGAGTTTTCTCTCTCTTTCTCTTCATTAGCATAGGTAAGGACCTGTCAATTTTATTTATTTTTTCAAAGAACCAACTTTTGGTTCTGTCAATTTTTTCAATTTTTTTTGTTTCAACTTCGTTGATTTCAGCTCTGATTTTAATTATTTCCTGTCTTTTACTGCTTTGGTGTTGATTTGTTCTTCTTTTTCTAGGGCTTTGAGATGTAATGTTAAGTAAGTCATTTATTTGTTGACTTTTTCTTCTTTTAAGAAATGAACTCCATGCAATGAACTTTCCTCTTAGAACTGCTTTCCTAATGTCCTAGAGATTATATGTTGTATCTGTGTTCTCATTCACCTCTAAAATTTTTTAGACTCCTCCTTGATGTCTTCTGCAACCCATTGTCATTCAATAGCATATTATTTAGTCTCCAAGTGTTGGGATAGCTTTTATTTCTTATTTTATCATTGATTTCTAATTTCATTTCATTTATGATCTGATAGAATGTAGGGTAGTATCTCTACATTTTTATATTTGCTAAGAGTTGCTTTGTGGCATAATATATGGTCTGTTTTAAAGAAGGATCTATGTGCTGCTGAGAAGAAAGTATATTCTCTTGTTGAAGTATGAAATATCCTATATATTTCAGTTAAGTCTAAGTTATTAATTGTATTATTGAGTACTATAGTTTCCTTATTCAGCTTTTGTTTGGAATATCTATCTTGTGATGGAAGAGGTGTGTTAAAGTCACCCAACATTATTATGTTGTGGTCTATTTGACTCTTTAACTTGAGAAGAGTTTGATGAATGTAGACGTTCCATTGTTTGGGGCATATATATATTTATAATTCTTAAGTTTTGTTGGTATATGGTTCCCTTGACAAGTATGTAGTATTCTTCTTTACCCTCTTTGATTGATTTTAGCTCGAAGTCTAGTTTATTTGATATGAGGATGGAAACCCCTGCTTGCTTCTGCAGTCCACGTGAGTGGCATGATTTTTCCCAACCCTTCACCTTTAGTCTGTGGATGTCTTTTTCTATGAGATGAGTCTCTTGGAGACAGTATATTATTGGGTCTTTTTTTTTAAATTCAATCTGCTAGTCTATGTCTTTTGAATGGTGAGTTTAGGCCATTAACATTCAGGGTTATTATTGAGACATTATTTGTATTCCCAGCCATTTTTGTTTATTTTTGGTTTTTAATGTGAGTTGGTTTCTCCTTTGAATAGATTTTTCTTTAGTGTTATACCTCTCTATGCTGATTTTCATCTCCTATTCGTGGAATATTTTGCTGAGGATGTTCTGTAGTTCAGGCTGTCTAGTTGTAAATTCTTTTAACTTTTGTTTATCATGGAGGATTTTTATTTCATCATTAAATCTAAAGCTTAATTTTGCTGGATATAAGATTCTTGGTTGGCATCCATTTTCTTTCAGAGCTTGGTATATGTTGTTCCATGATCTCCTGACTTTGAGGGTAAGGGTTGAAAAATCTGCTGAGTTACAAATTAGTCTCCCCCATATATGATCTGATTCCTATCTCTTGTAGCTTTTAAGATTCTATCCTTATTCTATGTGATAGGCATTTTCATTATAATGTGCCTTGGTGTAGATCTGTTGTAATTTTGTAAATTTGGTGTCCTGTAGGCCTCTTGTATTTGATTTTCCAATTCTTCTTCATGCTTGGGAAATTTTTTTTTTGGGGGGGGGAAATTTTTTGATATTATCTCTCGAAGAGATGGTGCATTCTTTGGTTTGAAACTCTGTGCCTTCCTCTATCCCAATAACTCTTAGATTTGGTTTTTGATGCTGCCCCATAATTCTTGGATGTTCTGTTTATGGTTTCTTACTGTCTTCACTGTGTGATCAGCTTTATTTTCCAGATTGTATACTTTGTCTTCATTATCTGACATTCTTTCTTCCAAGTGTTATAGTCTGTTGGTTATGCTTTCTATTGAGTTTTTTATTTTTAGATTTTTTGTATCCTTCATTTCAAGGATTTCTGACTTTTTTTTTCAGAGTCTCTCTCTCTTGAAGTAATCTTTTGCTTCATGCATTTGATCTCTTATCTCTTTGTTGGAGTGATCAATGTTTGCTTGTATTTGCTCATTTAGGTCCTTCTTTAATTCATAGAACATTTTAATTATGAACCTTCTATGACATTTCATCAACTTTGCCGGCCGTGGGTTCTGTTATTATAGTATCCTGGTTTGTTTGGGGCACTTTCCTTTCTTGTTTTTTTCATGTTGTCTATGTGTCTTTCTTTCTTGCAGCATGAATCTGAGATATTAGTTCCTTCCCTGTATTCTTGTAGTACCTGTGCAGATTGTCTATACCCCACCTTGATGTTGGGCTTCCAGACCCTGCTGGTGTCCCTCAATGTATGCTACTGCATCTAAAGGTGGTGGAGGCAATAGCCAAGGTAACTCGAGATAATAAGATAATAGTTAAGGTGCCCCAACATGGGAGCAATGTCTTACAGAGATGGGGTTGAAAGGGTGGGCCTCACACTCTTTTTGGGATGCCTGCTTTCAGATGCAGCTACTTCTAGGCCCTGTCTACTGTCAAAAAGTTAGGGTCTACTGCGTGGGGAAGGCTATGGCGATGACTGCAGTGTCCCAAGATGGAAGTGGATTAGGCATAGTGGGGGGGGCATGATCTTGGACTTACCCTGGACCCTGGGTCCTACACAGTCACTGTGGGTGGATCTGGGCTGGGCCTGGGCTCCTGTGGTAGTCTGATGGTTGGAAAAGGCAGTCCTTTGCCGGAGTCACCATTCTCCTTTTTCATTCTTCCCCCTCCTCCTCCCCAATCCCCTTTTGTACTCCACTGATCTCCCTTTCTGTTTTCTTTGAATTTTCCCCCTCTCATTCCTTCCCTGCTATTTTGGTCTAGCTTCTGTATTTGAGAGAAAATATTTGGCCCTTTACCTTTTGAGTCTTGCTTATTTCACTTAGCATAATGTTCTCTATTTCTATTTATTCACCAGAAAATGCCATAATTTCTTAAAGAAAGCTTCATGGCTAAGTAAATTCCATTGTGTATATATACCACATTTTAAAAAATCCATTCATCTATTTATGAGCAATTAGGTTGGTTTTATAACTTGGCTATTGTATTGCACTGCTATGAACATTGATAGGGCTATATCCCTACAGTATGCTGACTTTAGATCTTTTACATTTAGACTAAGAAATAGGATAGCTGGGTCATATGGTGGTTCTATTTCTAGTTTTTTGAAAGAATCTCCATGCAGCTTTCCAGAGTGGTTGTACTAATTTGCAGTCCTACTGACAATGTACTTTTTTCTCTACATCATCACCAACATTTATCATTTTTTGTTTTCTTGATGATTACCATTCTGAGTGGAATGAGAAGAAATCTCAATTTAGTTTTGATTTGCATTTCTCTGATTATTAGAGATGTTGAGCATTTTTCCATTTTTCTTTTTGGTTATTTGTATTTATTCTTTTGAGAAGTGTCTCTCTAGTTCTTTTGCCCCATATATCAACTAGGTTATTTTTTTGGTATTATTTTATGAGTTATTTTGTATTCTAGATATTAATACCTTATCTGAGGAGGAGGTGGCAAAGATCTCACTTTCTGTAGGCTTATGCTATTAATTGTTTCCTTTGTTGTGCAGAAATTTTTTAATATGATGCTGTCCCACTTACTGATTCTTGGTTTTATTTCTTATACTTTAGGAGTCTTGCTACGTGCTTAGTTCCTGTGCCAACATGTTGGAATGGTAGGAGTATATTTTCTTCCAGCAGTTTCAGAGTTTCTGGTCTAATTCCTAAGTCTTTGATCCATTTGAGTTGACTTTTGTACAGGATAAGAGATAGTGGGATTAAGTTTTGTTCTTCTACCTATGGATATCTAGTTTTTCCAGCATCACTTGTTAAAGTGACTATCTTTTGTCTGACATGTATTTTTGGTACTTCTGTCAACTATGGAATAGCAGTAAGTATGTGGATTTGTCTCTTAGTCTTCTATTCTATTCCATTGTCTTCATGACTGTTTTGGTGCTGAGACCATGCAGTTTTTGTTAGTACAGCTCTGTAGTATAATTTGAGGTCCTGTATTGTGATGCTTCCTGCATCACAATTCTTGGTCAGGATTGCTTTGACTATTCTGGGTGTCCTATTTTTTTAAAAGGAATTTTGGAACTGTTTTTTTTCTTGTTCTGTGAAGCATGTCATTGGTATTTTTATGGGGGTTATACTGAATCTGTATAACACTTTTGGTATTATTGCCATTTTGACAGTATTAATTCTCTATCCAAGACCATGGGAGGTCTTTCCATCTTCTAAGGTCCTTTTTAGTGTTTTATAGTTTTCACTGTGGAGGTTTTCTACCTCCTTGATCACATTTATTTCCAAGTTTTTTTATGTTATTCTGAAACAGATAGTTTTTCTAATTTATTTTTATGCAGATTCATTATTAGAATATAGGAAAGTGATTGATTTATGTATATTGATCTTATATTCTGCTACTTTGCTAAATTTCTTATCAGATGTAAAATCTTTTGGTAGTGTTTATTGGCCCTTCTAAATATATAATCATGTCATCAGCAAATAAGGATAATTTGACTTCTTATTTTCTTATTTGTATCCCTTTAATTTCATTCTCTTTTCTGATTGCTTCGGCTAGGGTTTCAAAGACTATGTTGAATAGGAATGGTGAGGAAATGCTTTCAGTTTTTCTCCAGTATGATTTGTCACATATAGTCTTTATAATATTGAGGTAATTTCCTTATATCCCTAGTTTCTTTAGTGTTTTAAACATGAATGAGGGCTGGACTTTGTCTAATGCTTTTTCTGCATCTCTTGAGATAATCACATGATTTTTGTCCTTAACTCTATGTGATGAATTACACTTATTGATTGCATATATTGAACCATCCTTGCCTCTCCTGGATGAAACCCACTGGATTCTGGTGCACTATTTTTAAATATGTTTTTGAATGGGGTTTGCCAGTATTTTATTAAGAATTTTTGCATCTGTTTGTCAGGGATATTGGTCTGAAGTTTTCTTTCCATGATATATCTTTGTCTGTTTTTGGAATCAGGGTGAAACTGACTTCATAGAATGAATTTGACAGTGCTCCCTCCTTTTCTATTTCATAGAATAATTTGAGGAGGCCAATCTCTGTTTTTTTAATTGGTATATTTAGATAACTTACAATTAAGGTAATTATTAATGGGTTAGAGTTTGTCTACCCTTTTATTGTTTGTTCTCTCTCTCTCTTTTTTTCTGTCTTCTGTTTGTTTTCTTGCCTCTCTGTGGATAACTTGAAATCTAATAGGATTACATCTTTTTTCTTTTACTTATAGTGCTTTGACTTGCATAGTTTTCTTAGTAATTGTTCTGTGAATTAAAATATACATGTCACTCATTCTCATCTGTTGTTGGTACAACTTTTTAGTGGAAATCTTACCAATTGTTTGTTCCTTTACTCTTTCCATTTTTAAATGTTACCATGTTGAATATCAGATGATGTTGTGACTTTTGTTTTAATCATTGCATATGATACAAAAACTCCATGAGAATTTTTCCATATTTCTGCTTCTTCCATTTGTTTACTTCTTTCTGATGCTCAAAAATTTTCTCTTTTTGACAAATACAGATACTCTTGTCACCTAACATTCCTCTCAGTATCAAGAATATTTTCACCAAAGAAACTCCTCTCTGCTTCCTCCCATTTCAGAGGCAATTACTATTATTATTGTTATTACTATATACTAGTTTTTGTCTGTAGAACCTAATATAAATGCAGTCATGCAGTATGTAGCTTTTTGTGTCTGGATTCTTTTATTAAATATAGGGATCTTGAGTTTTAGTTTGCCTTGCTGCATATTTAGTAGTTTCTGCATTTTAATTGGTGAATAATAGTCTGTTGTTTGAAAATATCATAATTTGTTTATTCAATCTCCTGTTGATAGATATTTGATCTATTTATTTATTTATTTTTGCTACTTATAAAGAAGTAGCAAAGGAATTTCTATTGAAGGCTTCTGTGGACTTATATTATTATTTCTCTTGGAATTTCTGGGTTTATGCCATTCTGTCTCTCTCTCTTTTTTTCTTGTATTGGCTTCCTAGTGATTTCTTTATTCCAAAAATTACAAGATGTGTTAGGAAGAATATTCTCTTTCTAAACAGTGTTAGATAAATTTTTTTTCCCCAGTTTTTTATGTGATAAAAGATACATATCATTAAATTTACTGCCTTAAACATTTTTGATTGTACAGTTCGAAGATACTAAGTATATTCACATTATCGTGGAAATAGCGCCCCCCCCCCAATTCATCTTCAGAATTCTGCATCTTGTAAAACTAAAATTCTGTGCCATTAAACAAATCCCCATTCCCTCTCCTCATAGTCCCTGGCAACCACCATTCTTTCTGTCTTAATAATTTTTACTATTATAAATAGTTCATATAAATGGAATCACACAGTATATTTCTGGATTATTTTGCTTAGAATAATGTCCTCAAAGTAGGTCAATGTGATTGTGTGTGTCGGAATTTCTGATATCTTAAGAGTTCAATAATATTCCATATAGCTGCATTTTGCTTACGCATTTATCTGTTGATGGACACTTGTGTTGCTTTCACATTTTAATAATGCTGCTGTGAATATGGCATATGATATTTCTTCAATATTCATCTTTCAATTATTTTGGGTATATTCCCAGAAGTAGAGTTGTTGGATCATGCAGTATTTTTCTTTTTAAAGAAAAACCACCATACTCTTTTTTAAAGACCACCATACTCGTTCCTTCAGCAGTTGTGTAATTTTTACATTCTCATCAACAATGCACAGTTTCTCCACATTCTGACCAGAAGTTGTTTTTTTTCTGATTTAAAAAAAATAGTTTTAATTTTTTAATAACAGTTATCCTGATGGTCAGGAGGTGGTATCTCACTGTGGTTTTCATTTGATTCCTTGAGTTATTGACCATCTAGGATTTCTTCAAAAGTATTACTCATCTCCCTTAATCAGTGTTTCAGGACTGAGTCTGAACACTTACATATTTACCTTAATATGTCTCTTTATTAGTACTTAGTGTCTCTAGGCCTCTGTTTTCCCATGTTCAAAATGAATATAACAGTGCATTTTTGCGTTGAGTTGTTCTGGGAGTTAAGTTAGATAATTTATGTTAAAAACTTACTACAGTAATGGGGACATAGTAAGGCCTTAATGAATGTTGGTTGTTATTATTTTATTGCTGGGATTTCTGTTATTGCTCTTGAGTCTTCAAATAATTTTTGTGCTTTTTGTTTGGGGGTACTAATTATCCCTAGAATTAGTGCTCCCTCTTGGCACTAGTGGAAGGGTTTTTATTTCTCACATGGTTCACTGACTATATGCTCAATAATCCCAGGGGTACCAAACACTTGTCTCCAGAGGAAGGAAGCTGATGGCTTCTCAGTCTCTAGATATAAGGGTTCTGTACAGGAAGGAGCAGTGAGAACCCCCCTCATGCCAACATAATTAGTCACCAACCTTCTCTTTTCATATCATTACTACTCTCTCACAGAGTAAGCAAATATTTTTTTAGCTCTTCTTTACCACTTTCACAGTCTATCAGCTGATACTGTGGTGTAGTAGGTAAGTTTCAGAGCATTGTAGTGGCAGAAGAGATTGGTGAGAGAGGAGAGAGAAAGGGGGTGTGTTTGTGTGTGTGTGTATTTAATAGCATATGTAAAGGAAAAAGCCTGAGCCTGGGACAGAGGAAATGGATATGGGGGGAAAGGGGTCAAAGGATGAGAGAAGGATTATAGCATAACATGCCATGGGGTGGGGAGTGTGGGTATTGGGAGAGACACCAGTGGAACTAGGTAGACACTGGTAGAAATAGAAATGAGAATGTAGAGAGGTGCTGGGAAAAGCACCTGAAGAAGTGGAGGAAAAGACTTCTTGTTTGCAGGTTTGAGGGAAGTTTATAGACCCATCAGAATCACACTGTACCAAGGAAGGGGAATATCAGTGGGAACTATTCATAAAATGGTTCAGAATTTGATCACTATCTTGTATTTGGTGAAGCAATGAAAGCTCCCAGAGAAAGATAACTCACTTATTCCATGGATTATTTGATCAAATATTTTTTAAAATATCTATAATGTGCCAGGCTCTGCTTAGTGCTAGGAAATTTTTAGTCACAAAGTGAGGAGCACTCTTGAAAAAATTTTTCTTGGTAATCTGGGGTAAGGCGTTTCTAAACCTGAAAGATCTTCCTCATTCTGTTTTCTGTCCTTCATTTTGCAGAAGAAATACAGACATTGGGTGAGGAAGAGGTTGTGCATGGATTATAGTATATGATGTTTACATATGACACACTACCATATGATTTCTCAAGTTGGAAAAAAATCCCTAAAATGTTTATTGGGAGTAAAAAAAAAAGGGTAGGTGGGCATTTTTCTTGAGGCATTTGTTCATTAAAAACATGAGTCATGGTGGTTACTGGAGCCTGGGATCAGGTAGGTGTTTGGAGAGATGTTGGTTAAAACATGCAGTATTTCATTTAGGCAGCAGAAATAAATTCAAGAGATCCATTGTACATCAATATATTCTATACTTAAAATTTCTGTGAGTAGATTTTAGGTGTTCTCACCACAAAATAAGTGTCTGAAGCAATACACGTTAGTTAGCTTTATTTAGCCATACCACATACAGTGTACTATACATGTATCAACATATATTATACACCTTAAATATATAAAATCTTTATTTGCTAATTAAAAATAAATAATTAAAAAGACCTGAGTCACTATTAAAGGGATGACAATGGAGTAAGGGAATCTCAGTGCCTCTTCAACATAGAAAAGATTAAAGCAAATCTAAAGCATTTGCTTTAGATTATGAAAGCATCTTATATGATGTTTTTAAGTGCCTGTGAGCAAGAGGGAGGTCATTAAAGTATAAATATAAATTTTCTTCATATATTAAAAGGTAAGCAATTTATAAATTTTAATATCACATTATGTGATGTATATAAATATATGTAACACTGAACCCCATTAATATGTACAATTAATGTATATTACTGAAAATGTTTAATAAAAGGAAACAAATTTCTTGTGACATAAAAACAAATCCTTCCATTTATTGCACCACAGACAGAGACTATCCTTATGCCCAGAGGTGGGTAGGTAGCTGTTTTGTCCATTAGGTATATGCCTTCAGTGTAGAGACTGTGCATTGTAAAGAACTTGAGTGGTGAAAAATTCTTGAGATCTGAAATACCTATGCAAGGAAATTGCAAAGTGAAATTAATACTTCTATAAACAGATGACTAGGTAATAAAAATAGGCAAAAAAGTAACTCCTTTATAGTTACTAACAATTATATCTGATGTGGTCTGTAGATAGGTACATTTAAATATGTTGTTATTCTTAATAGAGAATTTTAATAGACAGTCTTCTAAATTGGGATTGAGTGAGGACTTTAAAAGCCTTTATATAGCTCCCTAAAGAGAAAATGAGTAATACCAAAAAATAGAGCTGGGTAGGTACTTAAAGGGAGAAAAGAAGACACTGGGAAGAAAAAGGGACAGCAGAGTCTAGTCAGAGGCTGCAGGAAGTGGCTCCATTGTTCCTTAGCCTAGACTGAATCTGGTAGTTTGCACTCTAGTTACTTGGTTGTAGAGCTGAAGCTATTCCTGTCACTTCGTGATGTCCCTTGGACTTCTATAAATGATAGAAATAGTTTCTCTTTTCTTCGTCTGAGACAGATGGGTGCTTTTTAGAGCATTTGAAGGAAATCCATTAGGTAGTTCTGAGCCAAGCTAAGATCATCACTGGTGGACTTGCCTAGTGCTCCCTACAAAGCCCGTGGGTCTGAGTACAAGACACCAGTTCCATCTGAGAGATCTGGGATTGGGCTCCTTTTTTCTCTGTGGATACTTTTTCTATTCCCTTTATTCTTCTTTCCTCCTGGGAAAGGAGTTTTCTTTGATCATATTTGCGTGAAAAATAGGACTTTAATGTGGCTAAATAGTTATTAAGGTGTCTTGCCTACCAGAAAAAATACAATAAGATGATGGCCAATTTAATAATAACAATAAACAATAATAACCATTTTTCTGACCTTATATATATATTGAATCATTTAATCCTCACAATTACCTCATGAAGTTTATTATTGTCCACATTTTGTAAATGAATTTGAAAAAAAAAGGGAGGCATACAGAAATAAAGTGACTTGCCCAAGATCATCTAACTAGTCAGGAATGAACTGGAAAATGAACTGGGTAAGCCTGGTTCTAGAACTTAATGTTCTCACCTACTGTGCTGTGTTCTCTCCCATTTAATATGGCTCCTGGCCTCTTCTCTACCATTCTGGCTCCTTTGTTTTCCTCACTCTATTGGAATTTCTCTTAGAGCTTTGGCAGATACTTTCTGTAAACCTTTGGATGTGACTATTTATGCCTGCATGGTTCCTTTTTTCTCAAACAAGAACCCTTTCAAGGTGTAGGTAGAGAAGCAGCATGGCTGAGATGGAGCCCTCAGAAGCCACTGAATAAAATGAATATTCTTTCCATAGGTAGTAGGCTTCTTTTCATAACTTCATTAATGGTATCCAGGACTCACTGCCCCTCTCACATGCTGCCTTGGGTATATAGTGTCTCTCACTGCTGGGGCAATAGGATATATGAATTGTAAGCAGAAGGCAGGAATTGTTCTTATGAGGACTATATCTGGTACCTTACTATTTTATTGAGAAGGGATATGTAAATAGTAGGGTTGGGAGTGATAGTGGGAAGGCAAATATCCAATAAATTTCCTTCTAAGGAAACTGAATTTGTTTTCTGGTGAGAATTTTGCTTATATAAATTTGAGACCAACACTTTAATAAAATAGAGGCAGAGCAGTGTTACCACTTATCCTTCTCTGTGCATATCCCAGGAAACCTCAGCCTATCCTGTGAGTAGAAGTTAAACAAATATTTAAAATATATTGGCTTGGAGGATGTCAAATTATTAGCTTTACTGGGGTCTTTACTTATTGTATTCTGGCACTGCTCCTTTCCTTGTACCTACGTGAAGTACCATTGTTTCCTCCCAACAGCAAGTTATGTTTTAGTATATTTGCAGAGGCAGGAGGATAGACTTACAGATTGAGGATTTTCATTCCTTCACATAACTTCTTCCCTGGGCCTCTCTGAATATCTTTATTATAGAAACCAGCTAGTATTTATTTGATACCTTTATTCTGATTCTCTCCATACTCTCTCTATGCTCTTTTTCTTCATGTCTCCTTCTAGATGTCTAATAACTAATCCTTTCTGTAGTCTTAATAACTGATAGGTAGTTAGCTTCTGAAGGAAACAATTATTACCTGGTTGGAAGGCTAAGACAAGAAGGGCTCTGTAATTAACACTTTTTAGTAGCAGGGAAACCTGATTCTTTCTGGAGATTAGGGAAGAAGTGCATGGGAAGGAAGGCTGTGTTAATGGAGCCAGTAGAGGACGGGGCAGCAGAATGTATTGATTGACTTTATACAGAATTGTTTCCCTGGGAATCTTTGTTTTCTATGGGAAATGAGATCAAGAATCACTTGTATAGAACTGTCTGGGAAAGACCATGAGATGTTCAGAAGGAGTATCATGAAAATTGGCCCTCTTGGTTTCACTGGTATTGCTAGCTGCTTTTAGGGAAGATGTGAATCTCAGTCAGAACAGATAAATATATGTCTTAGGTTTCTTCTGAATTTTCACTTGGTACTCCATTTCCATGCACACGGAGCCACAGGTGCAAGTGTTCTATGAAATGTTCAAGGTAATAGCCAGATAAACTTAATATGATTAAATATAATCAAGTTAAAATTTAGTTTAGCTAATAGGTCTTCAGGATGGAGGTATATTGTTATGAACATTTTACAAAGTGGTATATCTTAAGAGGAGGTATTTTAGCATAAAATTTGGGTAAAGACATAGAAGGGGAGGGAAATTCAGATAAACACAGAAAGAGTAAAATCTTGGGGGAAAGGTACAAGTATAAAATGGGTTGGGGACAACTAATAATGTGGAAAGGGAAAAATGGATGAAAGAAAAAAAAGATAGAATGGGGCCAACATCATGGGGCATGTGGTGATGGGAGGAAAGTGCAACCTTTATTGTTTCTTGAAACAATTTGCCATGGAAGATCTATATGCAAATGAAGCACCAAGGGCCAGAAGTCATTCCTATGCCAGTGAGTATTCTCTAGGAGAACTTGCTGAAGAGTATAGCAGTTGAGAAAATCATGATGTCTTCTAATCTCTGCACATACTCAGGGATGCTTTCTGTTTTGGTCACTTTCAGCAGATGCAAAAGCCACTATAGAAAGAACCATAATGTTTATCATGACTTACACCAACTTTACTATCTTCCATCCTGGAGTTTTTGTCTTACTCGGCATCCCTGGGTTGGAGGCTTATCACATTTGGTTGTCAATACCCCTTTGCCTCATGTATATCACTGCACTCCTGGGAAACAGCATGCTGATAATGGTCATCATCACAGAACATAATCTTCACGAGCCCATGTATTTCTTCCTGTCTATGTTGGCCATCACTGATATCCTGCTATCAACCACTACTGTACCCAAGGCCCTAGCCATCTTTTGGCTGCATGCTCATGACATTACCTTTGATGCCTGTGTCACCCAAGTCTTCTTTGTCCACACAATGTTTGTGGGGGAGTTGGCCATCTTGTTAGCCATGGCCTTTGACCGCTTTGTGGCCATATGTGCCCCTCTGAGATATACAACGGTGCTAACATGGCCTGCTGTAGGAAGGATTGCTGTGGCCATTGTCATCCGAAGCTTCTGCATCATCTTCCCAGTGATCTTCTTGCTAAAGCGACTACCCTTCTGTCAAACCAATATCATCCCCCATTCATACTGTGAGCATATTGGAGTGGCCCGCTTAGCCTGTGCTGACATTACTGTTAACATCTGGTATGGCTTCTCAGTGCCCATTGTCATGGTCATCTTCGATGTTATTCTCATTGCTGTGTCTTACTCACTGATCCTCCGAGCAGTATTTCGTTTGCCCTCCCAGGATGCTCGGCACAAGGCCCTTAGCACTTGTGGGTCTCACCTTTGTGTCATCCTCATGTTTTATGTCCCATCATTCTTTACCTTATTGACCCACCGCTTTGGCCATAACATTCCGCGACATGTCCATATACTGCTAGCCAATCTTTATGTAGTGGTGCCACCAATGCTCAACCCTATTGTCTATGGTGTGAAGACTAAGCAGATTAGGGCGAGTGTAATTCACTGGTTCTTTGGCATCAAGACTTGGTGCTGTGCCTCCCCTTTAGGCTGATGAGTCCCCAAGAATTTTCATGCCCAGCTCTTTCTAGGAAACTAGGTGTGAAATATACAGACTTCCTGGACTTAGAGTATTTTTTTTCTTCCCACTTTTTAATCCTTTTACTTAACATACTACTCCTCCCCCAACTTTTCTTTTTTTCTCATCTAACTCTTCCTTTTTGCCTCCTTCTCCCTTTAACTTCATATATTCCGCCCTATAACCCAAAAAATGATCATTAAGTATATGTACCTCTAATATGAACAATTGGTGTCTTCAATAGACTAGATATACTCTAGAAGCACAGGAAACTGAACATTCATTACATTAAGGTAGGTTTTAAACAAATTAATAAAAATAATTTTGTATTTAACATCTGAAAAAGTTCCAATTTTTTAAAATCCCGAAATGTGCATTGATTCTTCATACAGAAGGAAGTAGATTTCCACCCACTTATACAATGGCAGGTGTTTTCAAAAACAGCTGGGCATACCCTTCAGCCACCTGGAAAATTTCATCTCATTCTTCAAATCTTAATTTAAGAATTGCCTTCCCTATGAGGTTTTTTCTAATTAATTTCTCCAGGCAAGCTCAGGTTCTTAGCTTTGCCTGTCTAGTACATATTATACAAATCTCTAAATATGTACAATATATTCTGATGGCTTCTTCCTTATTGTATCCTTAATTGACTGTAAACTCCTTGAAATTGGAAGCATGTGTGTTGTTCATATTTGTACCCTTAACACATTAAAATACCTCATAGATAATAAATGTTTGAAAAATGAATGAGAGTAATACAATTATCTCCCTGAACTCAGAACATGAATCTCTATGATGCATTGACATGATCAACTGACTTAGTCTACGAAAACTGTGATTAATAAACCAGGTCTTCCTGAAATAGTTTAGCAAGTCAGCTATCGATGTTCAGTACTGACTTTTCACACTATTGCTGTAATGTACAGGGAATAGACCAAGTAGGAGGAAGAAGGGTACTCTTAGTTCTCTCTTTTACCAGTGTCAGCATTAGGAATTATAGCACAGAGTTCCTGACCAGGTTAGCAAAACTTTAATATTGTCTTGGAGTTCACAGTCTTGACCCTCATTCTTTCATGCTTTTCTATTAAAGGTCATGCACATTCATTTCTTCAGCCACCACCCACACTAATGAGTCCTTCATCTCTCCTTCTCTAGTGTAGAATTTTTTTTTTTTTTTAGTTTTAGACACATAAATCCATGTATTAACTGGTTATCTCCTTCAGGATGTAGAACTCCCACTGAAGCCAACTTTTCTTCCTGTGTTCCTTTTCTTGTGAACTAGATTATGATGACCCCATCAACTTTTCTGAGCTGGGAACCCTGGAGTTTTTTTAACCTCTTCCTCTCAGGCCTGCTGCTCAATAAATTATTGGTTGGTACTGCTTTTGATATTAACACTACATAGTTATGTGGGTGGTATTTGGAGTCATTGGGATTCAAGTTTGTTCCCATTGTATTTTGGCTGTGTAAAGCTTGTGAAATTTTTTGAAGTTTTCATCTCCAGAATAAATAACAGTACAGGGCATCTTAATTGTGTTGTTGAGAAGGTTAAATGAAATAAAACTGTTTGTAAATATCTCTTAACATATCCTTAGCTTATAGTATATAAGAAATGTTTTGTTAATACTAGGTTATTTGTATTGTTAGTCTTCTTTTTAACACTGCCTCTACCAATTATTTATGGCCTTTATCATCTTTTACATTTATTAAATTAATTTCTTAATTGCTTTCAATGTTTTTAGTCTTTTATAATTTAACCTAAATTACAAAGTGACTCTAAATTAAGCATTGTCAAAGGTACAGCATATCAAGCTTCTTTCTGTCAAATACTTTGGAGGATTCTTCATTCTCCACAGAATGTCATATAGAATAGATATGAGATATCAATGGATGTTTTATACAAAAGTTCCATGGTCAAATAAGTATGGAAAATTCTAGCATTCTGCGACTCATTTACATGGCTGTTCAAGAAAAGTGTGTTTCTAATCTTTTTCTTTTCCTAAAACCTTGTCTAGTCATAATAGTGGGTGCATTTTGGTTGATGTTATTTGTTAATGTCAAACCTAATTGGTCTAGGACATCTCGTCCCCATAAATTTACGGGAAGATGATCCAATACATATGGCTGTATAGTTCCTTCACATCCTTCAGGATCCTTCCAATCTAATACCATTGCACTTCTATGGGGATTAGTCGCCATTCCTAGGCCTCGAAGCGTTTGAGTGGCTTGTTGTAATGGCCAATGTTTTGGCCATTCTTGACGAGAGATGATGCTAAGGTCTGCACCTGTATCCAGTATCCCATTAAATTCATGTCCTTGAATATTTAGTTTTAGCATGGGGCGAGAATCTAAATTTAAAGAAAGCATAGCCCAATCTACACCTGTGGAGCCTAATCCCTTGGAACCTCTTTCTACAGAATGACTGGAAAATTTATCATGTAGGCTGGGTATTATTAGTAACTGTGCTATTCTATCTCCTGGTGAAATTACTGATATACCCTTTGGAGAACTGGCTATAATTTTTATTTCACCTTCATAATCGGATCAATTACCCCAGGACTTATCATAAGTCCTTTTAGAGTATAAGAGCTGCGTCCTAATAATAAGCCTACTGTTCCTTTGGGAAGAGGTCCTTTCACCCCTGTGGGAATGATTTGAACTCCCATCTCTGGAGTTAGTACTGCTCTGGCGAAGGCGCAGATGTCCAACCCTGCGCTCCCTCTGGTTTGTCTGATGAGGGATCTGATGGACAATGTGTCCTGGGAACTACCCTGATGGTGTTGCTGGGTTCCTCCAGTGCTCCGTATATTTGTGGTTTTGGGCCCCGGAGCATTGGGCCCCCCTGTCCATTTTTTGGCAACGGAGCCTGATGCCTTTCTCCATGATATCTTGGATAAACACCTGGTCCTTGTTCATTTTTTGATAATGGAGTACCCTCTATGGTGGTTTGAGAACGGCATTCATTAGCCCAATGTCTCCCTCTACGGCACCGTGGGCAAATACCTGGTATTCTACTCCTTTGATACCTAGTTTTGTTAAACCCTCCTCCAATGGGGCAATTCCTTTTAAAATGTCCTGTTTGTTCACAATTGTAGCATGTTCTTGGCCTGGCATCTAAAGCCTGTTTTACTGCAGCTGCCACAATTTGCCCTTGTTCATTAATGTCTCTGGCATCTAAAGCCTGTTTTACTGCAGCTGCCACGACTTGCTCTTGTTCATTAATGTCTCTACATAATTTAATATATGTGTTTAAATCTTCATGTTTCCATGGTCTAATGATATCTCTGCACCAACGATTCGCTTGCTCATAAGCCAGGTGTTTTAGTAATGGCATTGCTTGTTCTGTATTCCCAAAAACTCTGGTAGCTGTTTGAATAAGCCTATCTACAAATTCAGCATAAGGTTCATTAGCTCCTTGTATTACCTTAGATAATTGACCTTGTAAACCTCCATGTCCTTGTAAAGTCTTCCATGCCTTAATTGCATCTACAGCAATTTGTGCATATACACCAGGATCATATGCAATTTGTTGCTGCTGATCCTCATAAGGTCCCTTTCCTAACAACATATCTAGATTTCTCTGAGGATAACCAGCTGCTGCATTTCGCCCAGCCGTCTCCTTGCAAAATTCCTCATTGGCAACCTTCCATAACAGGTATTGTCCTCCATTTAGCACAGCTTTACACATATTAACCCAATCTGCTGGCGTCATGTTCAAGTTGTTAATGGATTCGACCATGCTTACAGTGAAGGGTGCTTGAGGACCATAGGTTGTTACAGCCTCTTTTAGCTGCTTCACTGTTTTGAAATTTAAAACATGGTAAACTCGCTGCCCTCCTGCCTCAAATACAGGGCATGTTAATATTTGAGATCTTGTCTCAGGATCCCAATTATCAACTGCGGGGGTTGGGGGCCTCCCAGCATATGGAGGTGGCCTTGTTAGTTGGACACTTACGTCCTCTGGTGATAGAAAGGTGTTAGTAGCAGTCTCCTGTAGAGGTGGTGCTGTTGGTTGGACACTTACACCCTCTGGTGATAGAAAGGTGTTAGTAGCAGTCTCCTGTTGTAATTTTCCCCCTGATGGCCTTTTCTGTTTTACACTTTCTTTCTCTGTCTGACTAGCTTGAGAGGCCTTCTCTTTTACTTGAATTTTTTCCTCTGTCTGACTAGTTTGAGAGACCTTCTCTTTTACTTGAATTTTTCCCTCTGTCTGACTAGCTCGAGAGACCTTCTCTTTTACTTGAATCTTTTCCTCTGTCTGACTAACTTGAGAGACCTTCTCTTTTACTTGAATCATTTCCTCTGTCTGACTAACTTGAGAGACCTTCTCTTTTACTTGAATCAATATGTCTTCTCCTTCCTCTACCATTGTCTGAACTGAAGGCTTTGGACTAAGCAAACAAGATACGAACGTCCACAATGGCAATGTGCCAACTGGCAGAGTCCCTGGGCTTTTCTTTTCTATTCTTTTTAAATCTTCACCATGATGGTTCCATTGTGATATATTTAACAACTCCTCCTTAAAAAGCCATGGGCTACATTTTTGTATTGTATCAACGTATGCCCTGACTGCTCTTGATTTTACTGGGATGCCTCCTTCCTCTAACAATTTACTTAACACTCTTTCGGTTTGTTTTTTACTAATTTCTGATCCCATATTTCTACTATAATACAACCCAACAAGATAACACCAAACAAAACCGAGATAGAATGAAATAAAAATGGAACAACAAAAAATCATTATAACCTTTCTCCATATCTGTTCCTCAGACGCAAATAGTTTTTCCTCAGATGTGAGCGGTTTTTCTTCCGTCTCACTCATCTCCAGGGACAGGCAACTTAAAACAAAAGTGAAGCCAAACAAAAGAAGAATCTTAAAATGGCTACCCATCCTCTCGCCCTGCCCTCAGGGGAGAGCAGTTTACCTTATCACTTACCCTCAGTCGCTCCCTGTGCGAGCCACCAAATGCTGCAGTCTGGCTGGGCACAATCAGGAGCCACTTGTCAAAAGAAACTTACTTTATTTTTAGAACCACACACGCCAAACAAAACAGCCTCTCAGGAAAAACCCTCAGAGCCCCAACTGCCACCACCAGCTTTCCACAAGCCTCTCTCTCCAACAAGCCTCTCTCTCCCACAAGCCTCTCTCCCCACCTCCCACAATCCTCCTGCTCTTGAGGCCCATTGGCTGGGTCACGTGGGAGGAGCCAAAAAAGTCCCCCAATGAGCAGCTCCATGGTCTGAAAGGGCAGGGAAACAGCCCAATGAGCATCACCGCAGAGGAGCCAATCAGCTAGATGTTGCTGGGGCCGCTGTGAGTCAATCATCAGCCGGCAGCTGGAAGTTTGCTGGCAGCTGGAAGTTTGCTGGGGCCCCTTCGGCTGTGGCCCCTTCGGCTGTGGCTCTCAACACATTTACATGGCTGTTCAAGAAAAGTGTGTTTCTGACACTGTAGATATCTGTTTTCATGTTCATTTCATAAAATTTTTGTTGATACCATACCAATTTGTATCTCTAATACAACCTAGTGTTCCAGTAGCTAGAGTTTGAAAATTACAGTTTAGTATTACTGAAAAAATTATATTAGTTTAACAATCCGATCCTGATTCACTCTTCCATCTCTATTTTAAAACACACCACTATGTAATAATACATTAATGTATATATAATAATATTAATGATAATAATAATAATTATAATAACAATTAATATTTATTAAGAGGTCATACCATACTGGGAGCCAAGTTAAGAATTCTGTTGCATTATCTTATTTAATTCTCATATAATCTCAATAGATAATGCTTTATTATCTCTGATTAAGATGCAGGGATACCGGAGGCTGAAAAAGAGATAAATAATCAAAATTACACATCTGGCAAATGATAGATTACTGATGTCAGTTCGTTCCACCATCATTTCTAACCCCATACCCCCTCCCCTCCCCTCCCACCCCTCTGCCCTATCCTAGAGTTCCTCTATTCCTCTCATGCTCCCCCTCCCAATTGAACCCAGGGCCTTGTACCTGCCTGACAGGCACTCTGCCAACTGAGCTATATCCCTAGCCCCTTCAACCAAATATTAATTACTCTATTTATGAACCCCTCAGAACTTAAATTCTATAATATATATGTCATACTCATCATTATATTTCCAGCATTTAGCATAGGTTAAATATAATGGATTAAAATGTTGGTGAGGATATTGACCTCTGGACCCTTCATTGTTAAATATTATCTAATTTTATGACTGAAAACCACTTACAAATATGCACACTATCCTACCACCCCCAATTAGCTTCTTCTGATCTACTATTTCTTCTGTTTCTCCATAACTTCTGATCTACTATTTCTTCTGTTTCTCCATAGGTTTCTATTTCCCTGAATCTTGTAGGCATAGACTGGGCTGTACATCTACGTATTAACTAGCAGCAACTCAAATTCACTTTGTCCATATGTTTGATTCAGAGATATGGAGTCATTAGCAGATATACTATGTACAGAGTACTTCAGGAAGAACACAGTTAGATGTCCTGCCTTCTCTGGTTTTTGAGTCAGTGATCTCTGGAGACTGTTTCTGCTGGAGCCTGCTCTAATTAAACCAGATACTCTCTACAGAACAGTGTGGAAGAAGCTGTCTCCCTACCCAAGGGATTCTTAGGATGAGGTACAAATACTATCCCATTTCACTTTGGAGTCTGCTTGTAGATTTTTTTCACACATTAAAGAACT